CGGGCCTGCATCCATCTTAGCACCCAAATATGTTCTTCATAAAGTTCTCGTTAGAAACGTGAGACCTGTTAATTTTGACCTCTCATCCCCTTCATTTTCAACCACCTCCACCCCTTTGTTCTCCCTTCTCCCCTCTGCTCTGTGCTTCCTCAGATGAAGTCACGAGGGCCCTGTTGATTTTCCCATCAACATTCTCCTTTCTGCCCTGTCGCATCATAAATAGACTCCTCCGCTCCTTGCCCTTGTCTGAGGAGACCACTTCCTGTCGAATTGCTCTTTCTCCTGTTTCCCTTGGCTTGCATATCCCAAGGCCATGAGGAATTGACCACCTCCCCTAGCTCTGCAGTTCTGCTTCCAGATCACCATAGACGTGCTCACATAAATGTAACCTAGGGGCTGCAATGTGTCTGCAAGTTGAGCCCTTTACCTCCATGGTTCTCTGTCTCCACTCTACTTTAGCCACCAAATGCAGCTGCTCCACCTTGGATCTCATTATCCCTTGGAAATATTCCACCTGTGAGAGGGTCCAAATGCCTCTCTGACCATAATCCAGTCTTTCCTAGACCTTCCAGCTCTCTCATTAAACATTCAACAAAAATTTAATTAGCATGTACTACACGTAGTAGGATGTCACTGGGATACAGTGATGAACCAAATAGACGTGGTCTCCTCATCTAGAGCCTACATCTCCTGCAGGAGAACAACAATCAAATAATGACTTAATTAACTGTTAATTAATCTGAAGCAAATGCTGTGAAGGAAAGCACCACTGCTCATCCTATCCTGACCACTAATCCTTGTCTCCTCCACATCCTCTAGGCACAGTGAGCCCCTTCTTATCATCCTTTCTTTTTCCTTCCAGCCCAGACTCTAAAGTACATAATTTCAACCACTCTTACCAGCTCTCTCAATGTCCTAGCCCTTTTTCTTTGGCAGACCAACAAACACAGAGTAAATTCAGCTTTACATCTTCCTTCCTTTAAACCAGGGTCCGGAGTAAGGCTGATAAATCACAAATCAGCATGACTCGGTGCCTTTAAGACATCCAACCCCAACTGCACCCTCAAGACTGCTCAGTAGTGCTCATGCACATGTTCCTTATCTCCACAGTTGGTATTTCAGCCTCAACACAGCCTCCGCATGCTCTTACACCCTTTCCCCTGGACATGTCTTGGTGTCTTACTCCACAAAGAAAACATGAACATGAACTCTCACACCCTTCTGCTCTCTACCCACCCACATGCATACATTATATTCATTCTTATCTCCTTCTCCCCATCTCTCTTAATAGGGAGTCCCTCCTTCTCTCAGAGGCTAACTTTTCCCCTCCTTTCTGGTCTTCCTGTTATTTTTAGCCCCTTCTCAATCTCTTGCATGGATTTTTCTTTTCACCTCTGTCTATCCTTTGAATATAAATGTCCCAAGTTATTTCCCCTGCGACCTAGGTACTTTTCTTACTCTTCCTAGTCAGCTTGAGTGATTTCCATCACAACCAGGTCTTCATTTGTTACCTATGTGCTCATTATGCTAAAATCTCTCTCTCTTTCTTTCTCGAGAAACCTTTCTCCTGACCACCAGATGTATTCCTCCGCCTGGATGTCCTTAGGCAGATCAGTCACACTCATCTCTTCAGGACTGGACCCACCGTCTTCCTCAACATGCGTAAATATGCTCCAGTGTTCCCATGCTGGAATTGCAACACTGCATGCAGCTGCCCAAACGGCAGTAAGAGCCTTGGTGCAGGGGCTTTCTTTTCCCTGCTTCCCAAGCACTGTTGATTATTTTTCTTAAATATATTCACCCCTGCCCTCTAACGAACCCCCAACCCCCAGTCCTACTCCAATAAGGCAATGGCCTTATTTCAAGCCTTCCTACCTTCTTTCTCTCTCCCTCTACACCAGCCTCCAAAACAGGTCCAGAAAGATCTTTCTGTCCGCAAATCAGATAATGTTGCTTTCATCACCAGAATTTGCCACTGGCTCCCCACTGGCTCTAGGACATAGCCTTAAGTCCTTCCACGGTGCCCAGGGCCTTCCTAGAGGTCCCTGCTGGGCTGCTCTTAATGTCTCTAGCTGTGCTCCAGCAACACTGACCTGGTCATCACGCTCTCTGCTGAGGACATCCCTCCTCTCTCTGTCCCTCTAGCAAATGCTTTCTCTTCCATAAAGACTCAGCTCAGATGTGCCCTCTGAGAGGCCCCGAGGAGATGCTTGGCATGCCTCTCCCACTGCCCTTCAGTCATACCTTCAATATAGTGATTATCTTGTGGTGTTCATTGTTTGTTTGCAAGTCTAACAGTAAACTCCTTCAGAGCAGATTACCACCTCTGTTCCCATTTATATCCCAAGTGTCTGATGCAGTGCCTGGTACCTAGCTAATGCTCAGGAGATATTGGCTGGGATTATCTTGATCCTCAAAACCCTTGGTTGCTGTTCCCTTTTTATCTGTTGCAGATACAGCTTCCATGTCAGGGTCGCAGAGGGGCTGTCCCATGTCACAGATCTCTGTCTCCCCCTTCTCTTTTCTCTTCTATCACTTAGGTTTCTTTCCTCCAATCTCCTCTTTGAGAGAAAACTCTCGTCTCTCATGCCATATCTTGAATTTTTCTTTGTTCTGTATCCTCTTGAGACCCAGCCTGTCCTGTGAAAATGGACTCAGACCCTCTGGCCAGGCCCCAGCTCTTGTGGCAGGTCAGAAGTGGAACCTGGCACCATCATTATGCACATTTCCTGGCCTGGCTTTGCCATCCTTGCTGGCTTCATCTCAGCTAATGGGCTTTTGTTTGTTGATGCCAACTCTTGTGCTATTTCCTTTTCTAGTCTTGGTTTCAAGTTCCTTCTTCAGACATTTAGTTACCAGGAAGAAAAGGAGGGAGGGACATATTTCTGTGAAGAACTAAATTATTATAAAATCGTGGTGTCCTTCCTGTCAGTGGTGTGGCACCCACAGGAAGGCAGATGAGGTGTTCCTCTGGCTCATTCCTGCTTCCACCCTCACACCCTGACCTTCTCTTGAGAGGTCAGTTTCCTCCTACATGCCCTCCTGCCCAAGTTTTCACCAGCCTCTTGCTTTTTACCTCCCTCAGTTGGTGGCAAATTTTCCAGTCCCCAAATTGGAAAGCTTGACAAAGGCGATTTTCTTATTTGTGAGTTTATTTGCTTGATAAGCCTTAGGAAACCTTACAGCTGTATTGCATTTGAGTACCTCTGTACCAATTTTATTGAAAAAGAATAAAATTACATTAATTGGAATTTTTTTCTAGAAAGTATGATTGTGAGATTGCCGAGGCAAGGCAAGCTATTGCAGAAAAGTAAGAAGACTAGAAAAGGGAGGAATGACATACTCTATCTTAGCTAGGTTTTCAGGAAGAGATTTTACAAAGCTTGATTCAACCAAAACTACTTTTGTATTAGTCAAGCATGTTGGTATGTACAATTCATTATTTAAAGATATTTTTCAAATAAATTAGAAAAAGAAAAGTGACAAGGGACATGAGAGAGAATTGCCTAAATTGACTGTCATTAACCATAAATATCTGGAAAATGAGGGCAGAAGCAGTGTTATGGGTTGACTCATGTGCTCCAAAAGGATGTGTTGAAATCCTAACCCCCAGTCCTAACGTTATTTGGAAATAGAGTCATTGCAAGTGTAATTAGTTAAGGTGAGGTCATACAGGTGGGCCCTTAATCCAGTGTGACTGTTGTCCTTGTAAGAAAGTGATGTGAAGACACAGAGAGGATGACATGTGACAGCGTGTTGGAGGCGGAGATTGGAGCCATGCAGCTGCAAGCCAGCAACACCAAGACCTGCTAGCAACACCAGAAGCTGAGAGAAGGGCATGGAACAGAGGCAGCATGGTCCTGCTGACCCCTTGATTCTGGACTTCTGCCCTCCAGAACTAGGAGAGAATAAATTTCTGTTGTCCTACCCTATTTGTGGTAATTCATTACGGCAGTCCTAAAAAACTAACATGGGTAGGAAGCTAATATATGTATAGCTTTGCATATATATTTATGCTTATATTTTATGCAAAAAGAAAAAAAAGACTCCCAGAATCTACAATGTGAGACACACAAGAAATTGATATTTGATGAGCAGGCTACAAAATGGGTGGTGTGAAACAGCTACTTCTAAATTACAACTAAATCACTAAGTTGTAATTAAAACTATAAAACACTCAAAAGGCTGCATGCTTCTTCTAATCAGGGTGACCCGTGGGGCTCCTTTTCAGCCCTGTTCATGGCAGTTCAGCTCCCACATGTGAAGGAGGCGTTAGAGGTTAACGCACGAAAGCTCAGGGCTGAAAGGGGGTCAAATGTTTGTAAATTATGGTCAGTTCATACCAAAAATGATCAGTCTTTTGCCAGTGATGCCCCACTATAATCAGGTATCTCTCATTTGTGAAAGGATGGAGTGGATGTTGACTGATGTTAGGTAAATTCAATGAAAGCCGAATTGCCAAAATTTGATTTTGTGGAAATAAATCTTGCCTAATGATCAACTCATTGATTGTGCCACATTGGCTGATTTACCAAATTTGGCATTCGTTGAATAGGAATGACTTTAATAGCAAACAGCTTTCTGGGAAGATTTAATTGACTGTTTTTCAGTTTTCTCAGTTGTGTCTAGCAGTAATGAAGTGAAGTTCAATTTCTTGAAAGCTAACAATCAGAGGGTAATATAGTTTTCTTCAGAATAAATATATTTAGGACCCAATAAAGCATATTTTATCACCAGGAACCCCAATTTCAGGATTTTATATGGAAGCTTTTCTGCTAGAATATCAATTTTTGTTTGACAAACTTTTTTCCGGACAGCAGGTTTAGGGTTCTTTTTACAATTTCTTAAATACTCTAGCAACCATTGGTAATTTCTAGCCATTAGTAGCCAAATTTTAGTATATTATATAATTTTTCCTGCTTCCTTCTTTATTTTTTATTCTATCCATATTTTAACTTTTAAAAACTTATTTTACCATTTACTTTTTATTCTTCATTCACATTTTTGTAATTATGGAGTAGATATATTAAATTTGAGGCAGTAGTCATATAGTCTTTTGTATTAATTCCTTAGGGCATCCCCACTTGGACCAGTTTTACCTATTCACAGTGAATCTCTCTCAGACCAATACCAACTCTATAAATCCCTATTGCTGCCTGTTAGAAACAAAAAGTCAGCATTTAAAAAAATTTAGGCATTTATAAAAACATAATAAATATAGCAGTTTATAAAGTCAACAGGAAGTTGTGCTTTTGATAGTGCCAACAGCTTTTGAGTCTGTTCAATAGTTTCAGTTATAATTTCATAATTTGGTTCTAATTTAGAAGTGGCTGTTTCACACCAGCTGTTTTGTAACCTGCTCATTAAATGTCAATTTCCTGTGTGTTTCACATTGTAGATTCTGGGAGTCTTTTATTTTTGCATAAAATATAAGCATAAATGTATGTGCAAAGTATTTGCATAAAATATAAGCCAACTATTCATTTGCTGAAACATTTTAACAAATCTGTGAATCAGGGAATATCAAAAGGCAATGGATTAAGCTGAAAATATGTCATTGGGAGATATATAAATGATGTATCCCAACTTGTCATTTATAAAATCTTGAACACTTGAGAAACAGTCAACACTTGTAATTAGAAATACATAAGGAATTTTCATTCCCCAGAGTATATCCTAAATCCGGAAACCTCAGGAATATACTGAATTTTGAGTGGGCCATGGCTAGGGAGAAATTAAAACTAAACCAGAAGCCAAAACCAAATTCAGATGTGGGGGCAAAGTTTTTGAAGGCAGTGTAATCCTCTCATGTAAATCTTTGATGATGGGTGGCAGAGAATGCTAGCTGCTAACTTCCCAGCATCCTTTGCTGTTAGGTATGGCCGTAGGCTGGGTTCTGGCCAAAGGCTTGTGGTCACTTGATGTGTCCCACCTGTAGTCTTGGCCCATGAAACATCCCCTGCCATGCCTTCCATGTCCCCCTTTGGCTGGCTGAAATAGAGACAAGCCCCAGGGCAAGCTTGGAGCCATGTGTTGAAGATGTGGAGCCACAAGATGGAAGGAAGCTTGGTTCCAAAAGGGGGTCCCTTGGAGGAGAGCTGGCTGCCAATTAGGGACACATGCTTTAGACTTGACCTGAGCAAGAAATAAACTTCTATTGTGCTAAACCAATGAAACTTAGGGATGGTTCATTACAGCAGTAGCCTATTCTGGCCATAACTTAAAGACTACAGAACCTATTAATTTTAAAAATTGGTCATTTAGTGAATGACCTTTTATGAGGTTACCCCTTTGCTCATCTTTGATAATAAAATAATAGCTAACCTTTACTGAAAGTTGATTCCAGGAGCTGTTGGAGCCTTGACACATAGTAACTCATCCAGTGTTCACCACAGTCTTTTGAGATGGGTACCACTTTCTATCCTCCTTTCACAGATGGGGAAACTGAGGTCAAGGTGTTTAAGTAGCTTGCCATGGTCACGGAGCTAGTAAATGGTAGAGATGGGAATCAAACCCAGGCAGTCTGGCTCTGTAATCTCTATTAATTGCCCCTTAGTGACTATAAGAATTTCTCATGAGACTCCTGCAGGTGTGTTTGACAGAAAGAGCATTCCAGTGCTTCAGAATCCAAGTCATGGGCTATTGAGTTAAGGGGTTTAAATTGTGCAACTCAACACCCTCATTCTGAAAGTGGGCACCTGGTCCCAGACCTGGAGGCCTGTGGGAGGTGAGTCCCTTATATCTGTCTAGCCTGTACAGCTTAATGGATTTGTCCATCCTGAAGGAGAAGCAGGGAAAAGGCTGAGATGCAGTCTCCTGAGAGCTGCTGCTGTGACATCTCCTCCCGGCTGATTTGCTCTTGGTCCTTGTTTTGCCTCCGGCAATGTGATCAAATCTAGAGGGTCAGTGTGACTTTTCAGACTTGGCTTCACACCAGTTCTGTTAGCATCATTGACCTGTCTGATGCTTGGTTGACTCAACCTCTACTTTAGCTCTGTGTTTGCTGAGCTGCGTCACAGATGGTCGCCCCAGGTGCCACATCCTCCCCTCTAGCACTCACTTCAGGAAGTCACAAGAAAACGGAGAAGCATACAGCAATGGTATCACAGCTGGATTTTTGCCCAAGTATCCTAATTAAATGCTGCCTAATATCCTATCTTCAATGAACAGAATAGCAGCTAAGCCAGAGACACTTTCTGTGGCTGCCTTGTCTTAGAAGAAATTCATTCTGACTCGAGGTGTGTTTTGATGGTCTCAGGTGAAATAATTTCCCGGGCCTCAGATTTGATGGTGAGATGTTATATTACGAAGTATCAGTGCAGGCTATGCAGGAGTGATAACAGTGTCAGAACGCATGAGAGAAAATGCACCCTGGAAATGTTGAAATATTTTATAAACAAACACATCCCGTTCCCAGGCAGACCCAACTTCTTGACTAGCATTTTGCTCAATGGCTAAGTTGCAATGCTGCCAAGGAAAACTATCACTGAAGGCCACACAGGTAAGGCATAATATCACAGATCAGTCTCTGCCTACTTCTTGCAACAGGGACAAATTGGTGAAACCACCAGGAGCCCGGATGTTCTTTGAACAGGGAAGCTCAACTCTTATATATCAAGCTGTGTCAGAGGGCAATGCCCAGAGGAGATCTCTGGGTGGCTGCCAGCAGTGTGGCATGACTAAGCTGAACACTTGAACCTGTCACAACTTATCTGGGTGGCACAACCTTCTCAGAGTGAGCTGGGATGTTCTCATCAACCTGGATGTATTAATTTTCTATTGCTATGGTAACGAGTCACCACAAATTTAGTGGCTTAAAACAACACAAATCTATTCTCTTATGGTTCTGGAGTCAGAAGTCTGAAATCAGTTCCACTGGGCTAATGTCAGGGTGTGGAAGGGTCGGGATCCTTCTGGAGGCTCCAGGTAGAATCTGTTTTCTTGCCTTTTTCAGTTTCTAGTGGTCACTTTTATTCCTTGACATATGGCCCCTTCCTCTGTCTTCATTATTGTCGCAGTGCCTTCTCCTCTTCTGTAGTCTAATCTCACTCTGCCTTCCTCTTATAAGGATACTTGTGATTACATATAGGGTCCACCCGGATAATGCAGGACAATCTCCCCATCTCAAAATCCTTAAGGTAATCACATCTGCAAAGTCCCTTTTGCCGGAGGAAGTCACATTGATTACAACATCTTTGGGGGCCATGGGGGGGTCAGGAGATGCTGCCCACCACTGAGGCAGACTCAGTTACATGAATTGTTCCCAGGAACCTGTGAGGGCAGGAGAGGCCTAGGGAGAGAAATCCTTGTACTTGGGGCTTCTGGGGACTATTCACCTACTTTGGGTGGGAAGACATCTTTCAATGCTGTTGCTATTACTCTCACAAAACACACACACACACACTCACATGCACACTTTTATTCTTTGTCTCTAGAAAGTCTGTCTCTTTCATTACACTCCGTGCCAGTTGATTTCCTTGAGTGAAAATAGCAGGATCGCTCAGTAAAGCTGGTTTGACTTGAAGGCCTCCATCAACCTTAGTGCTGTGTAGATGGAACAGCATAGAAAACACACCTGGATGTTGGATTCTAGCCCTGGTTCTACCACTAACTTGTCGTCTGATCTTGATTACACCATCTAATCTGTCCAGGCTCAGCTTTTTAGCTTCAACATAAGGAAGTTTGTCTACAGCTGAATTTTCCCCCAAAATGTGATCTATAGAAACCACTAGTTGCAAGAGCTGCGTGGGGGGAAAAAAGGGGTACAAGTAAGTTGGGAAAATGTTTTAGTGTGTGTACACCTCCATTCCTCTAGGAGAGCCACAATGCACTTAAGCATAGTAAAGGCTCTGAAAAGTCCTGCATAAATGCAGTTGGATAACTCTTAAACCCAGTGTTTTGTGAACTGTGTTTAGATCACAGAACACCCTAC